CGTGGCCTAGGCAACACGGAGTTTTCCTCATTGGCATCCCAACAATTACTCCATTCACACACAGAAGAAGGCAATGGCAAACCACTTCTGGATCATCTGCCAAGAACGTATATGAACAGGTCCCAGTCCGAGAAAAGAAAAGGATGGAAGGATCCTGTTCATATGGACCTGTCGTCAGACAGAACACTAAATAAAATAAAATAAGTAAATAAAATAATATATGATTACGAAGTCAGTCCATGGATTAAGGGGACAGAAAACACGTGATCTCAGACACTGTGGAAATAGAAATGTACCTGTATGAAGTCAAATCCTATGCGTCCAGTTGGATTCAGTGGATTCAACGAATTAATAGAACAAGACTCATTCATGACAATGGATTCAACCAGTTCCATCCACGAAGAAACATCAGAACGTATTACGTAAAAATCCAACTTAAATGTAGGTTTCTCTGGCATTATTAACACAGCTATTTAAAACGTGTTAGAGCATTCTGGTCTTAACACGCGTCTACCAGAAGGAAGAATCCATGTTGCCTGCGACTGCAGCGCCTCTTAAGTATATCGGCTCTAATCGCTGCGTCTTTAAGCTCATGACATGGAAATGTCATCTAGGACTTGGCGCCACTTCGTGAGCGAAATCCACTAACCAAACACGGGAAAGAGCCGAGTGGTATCATGGATTAGGTTGGATTTTTCACCCATCCCAAAAGCACTAGATTGCTCGGTCTTCGGGGGTTTGTGTCCTTCACAAGATTTGGATTAACTTTCTTTTGATTCGACAGTGTACTTCCATCTGAAAGAAACCGATGTTTTGTTAAGGGAGTGCAAGCCACGTGAATTATTAAATCAACAGATATGCGATGGAAATATTTCAACTCCGTTAAATACACGCTTACTTTCTACCCTAATCGATTTTCTTATCGTTGCGATGGGGCGAGGCTACGTCTATGCTCATTGTCCGTCCCCCAGATGATACACGAGAGGAAATAGGGCAGAGGTTGAATGATGCAGACTGGGGCAAACCGAAGGCCTCGGAAAAGAAATCATTCCCACTTCGCTCACCATAAATTCCACGTAACCTGACCTGGGAAAAAACCCAGACCTTTGGGGCAAACCGCCTGAGCTATTTCACGGCCATAGCCTGATCGATTAATCGATGTTCAACGTTTAAGACGTAAGGAAGTAACGTTTAAGCTGAGAGAGTTCACTCAAAGTAGTGACTAGCTATGGGGGTGAGCGACCGGGGTTCTATTTCCGGAAGGTGCAGGGATTCATTTCCACATCCAGATCGACTATGAGGCCCACTCTTCGGGAATAAAATGAAGGACCTATGAGCTAAATAGTCTAAGACTGCCTGCAGTTAAATAGTTTTATTATTGATATTGTTCGCTACAAACAAGATTAAACATTCAAACCATATTAATACCACGATGAAACCAAGTTTCTACCACGTTGACAGCACCTTAAAACCACGTTCAAAGCTCGATGAAATGACGTTGAATCCACATTTGAAACAGAACCTAACCTCACATACCAACCCGACGTCTAACCTAACCTAACCTAACCTCACATATTATTTAGACGATGTCACTTCCCACACATAACACAACTTAATCTAACTTAATACAATCTAACCAAGCCTAATCCAGGCTAAAGGAACACGCTGAAACAATTTTGGAATCGTGTTCAGACCACGTTCAAGCCACGATGGAACTTCCTTAAGACCGCTTTGGCACAAAACAACATAATACAACCTACCAGAACCTCATCTATTCTAACCTACCATAAACCAACCTAACCTAACCCGTTGAAACCAAGTTCGAACGGTATCCAAAAGATAAAATCACGTTGAAACCACAAAAGAACGTAACTTGGCCCAAAATAGTTTGACTTAACGTGACCTAACACAACCTAATCCAAAAGAAGCCAAGTCTTTGAAACTATACGTTAAATAAATGTTCAAACTGCGCTCAGATTATTCTGAAACAACGTTTAATAATTCGCTTCAATCGCCTTGGACGTAGAGTGCATTATGTACGAACGGCCTTCAACTTCTCGGTAATTATTTTACAGATTACTAATCTTCTTGAAATTACTTGGGTGAATTTCGGTAAGATGAGCAGGTTACTGTAGCGGTAACGATCTAGACTTGTGTTCAGGAAGAACTCGGTTCGAATACCAGTTCGTCTACTGACTGTCTACCTTCAGACAAGCCACGATCATCTCCTTTTAAATCCTTACAGCATTCGTGAACATTTTCCCCTTATCATTCGACCTGTTATCTCAACAGCACAAAAATCGTCTTTAAGTAGCTGTTTGTGGTGAAGAATTGTGTTTTATTTGAGGTAGGAACTGAATGTTTAAATATTATTTATACGTGAGCTTTGCGGTTTACAGCGATAACAGCTGCTTACAGCACGCACAGCGGTAGTTTATGGAACAAACTGCTTCAGCAGTCAATGACGTATTTCGTCTGCATCTTGTATTTGCGTTTTCTGATTTGCAGAACAAACACGAAATACGAAATAAATTTATCTAAATAGCTTTTAAAATTTAAGTTCTTATTTCAAAGAAAACTACAACGCGTCTCCATCCCAAAGATCAATAGGTTAATGCTGTTTAAGTGAATATTTGAGATTTCCATATAAATACTTAAAAGTAAATTGAAAACAATGTTTGTTAACGGTCGTAAGAGAATCCGCTAGATGGGTCTCCCTGCTGCCTGAAAGATCGATAAGCGATGATGCATGTGGTTGGTATCGTGGTCGAAAGACTACGGTTGGTATTACCTGTATCTGTGGTTGCGGAGCGTTGATCTTGCTCTGTTACTAAGCAAGATGGCGGAAGCAATGCGGCAGACTGTGGCTAAAATGTTAACAGGAATAGAAAGGTAGTTTATTAATTCAAAAATATATAATTAATGTTGTGCACGTTTCGTATGATGCACAATTTATTTAATATGAATTATGCAATTCGCACTTTCTTTATCAGCAGGCGCAATTACGACCATATGTTTATAATTTGTTGTAGTATTACTTTATTAAATTTACGTTTCATGATACAAATTAATTTCATTTCAGATATAATCCAGATAATCTGCAGACTTTGGAGAGCTATGTGGAATACCAATCCAGGGAAAATACTTACGATCTTGAAGCTAACCTGGCAGTATTGAAATTGTATCAATTCAATCCTCTGCGGTACAATAGCAATATCACATGTCAGATTTTGTTAAAAGCACTCACAAATTTCCCCCATACAGACTTTGTGTTGTGTAAATGTCTTCTGAGCGAAAAACACGTAAGTTAACATTCATATAGTGTGTACCATAACAAAGTTCAAATTATGAAATGTCAGTTTCTGAATTGTTATTCTCAGCTTGCAGATCCTCAGATTGGTCATATAATGTACCTGGCAGATATTCTAGAGAGCTGTGACTTTCAGCAGTTTTGGACCCGGGTTCATTCAATGCCTGAACTGTGTTCTCAGATAACTGGTTTTCATGACTCCATCCGCAAGTTTGTGTGTCATGTTGTTGGTATCACATTTCAAACAGTGGACAGGATTGTATTGGCCAAGCTTCTTGGCGGTGTGGATGGTAAGAGAGAACAAATTTTGACTACTTAATGCAGCCAATGATTTCTGTTTGTTAACCTGTAATATTCATGTAGTGCAGCTTAAGTTTGATCCACTTGGCTGTTACATTAACTTACTACTAAACTAAACTGTTAAACTCTGGAGCTGAAATGTGGCCAGCAGCGTTGTAATACGGGGATTCAAATCCCCCATTCCTGTGCAATGAAGTAAAGCCTCTGTCCACCCACTCTGTTGTATCCCCTTAATTAATACATAGATAGTCACGTGAGTTACCAAATGGGAGCAAATTCTGGGGTGTAGACATGCAGTGACAGTAGTTATTACATTGAGTACAATTTGTTAAAGAAACATGCAGTGGGCTATTAAAAGTCTCTGACATTAATATTATAAGCCTTAATGTCAGGAGAATGGAAGAAAATCAATTGCAGTTGGTACAGACAATAAAAGTGATCTATTGAAGTTCTAGTCAAGATCCACTAGTTATCAGAAAAAGTGAAATGAGTCTTAAGCACCTTAAATCTGTACGCCTCTTTCCTTCAGAGAAATAGATAAAGCCCTTTGTTATTTAATATTAACTCACAGTCTATTGTTATTGCCCAGTATGGATCACAATGTCAAATATTATTTCATGATGCATGTAGGGATTAAGGATTGGAATGTTGGGAGTCAAATTCTTGTGTTTTTACAGATCAGACACTGAAACACTGGGTTAAAAAGTATGGTTGGAGAGAAGAAGACAATGGTATGGTATTCATTGCAAATCAAGACGAAAATATAAAGACAAAGAATATCACAGAAAAGATTGATTTTGAAAATGCTGCTGCAATAATGGCAGCATCACATTGAACTTTTGTCATTCGTGACTCCCGTTATTGTAATTTTACGTGAAACAGCAAATAAAAAAATTGATATAGAATTTGTATTTAATCTAATAAAATAAACTCCTAATAGATAATGTTAGACTACTTTATTCCCTATGTTACCTTTAATTGTAATATGTCACTTCCCACACATTACCATAACTGAATAGCAAGTGATTAGTTGGCACAGATCAGCAAATACATTTACTGTGTAAGAAGAGAACACCTCTGTTCATTTAAATGTATTTTTCCTTGTCTCCCATTTTACTGTGTTCATGTTGTTATTTTATTATATTTTGCTATAAGTTTACAATACTTAATGTAGAATGCTTTTATTATCGGATTATCACTGAACCTGCTGTTTGTGTGTGTGTATGTGTATATACTCATTTTATATTTGCAAGATATTTCTATTTTGAAAATGGCTTTCTTCTGGGTTGTTGCACTGTGTAGTCTGGTAGAACTTTACTGACATTTCATCATCGCATGTTGGAGGGAGCAAGGACCTCTGAAATGTTGGTAAACTTCTATCAGACTACATGCCCCAACAATCCAGAAGACAGCCATCTTCATCTTCAGGCTCACTGCCACAAAACCCTCAAATCCTAAATAGCATTTGAGCTACACATATTGGTAACCTGTGTTCACAGATTTCCTGTGTTGGCCGATACTGTCAGCTCCCTGCGGTGGTATGCCAGAACTACTGGTTCCCTGCTAAGAGGAATCAACTTTAGGATGGAGGCTGTGTACTGGAATAATTCAATTTAATGAACTCCACCTCCTTGAAGAGCACATATTATAAGTCACCTTTGTCCACAGGTTTGCTAGAACCACTAGCTCCCTGCTAATAAGGATCAACTTTCAGATGGAGGCAGTTGCAGAGATCTGTATTTGGATTTTGCCATTTACCTATCCGTTACGAAATTTAAACAATTTCCGGAAGTGAGTTAAACACTAACGTGTCCCACACCTACACAGTGCATTCTTCCTGAACGTTATTTTCGCTACGATCGTTTACCGTCGAGCTTCGGCCACCTTCACCGACAGACGTGGCAGGTCGGAGCCCGACCGTGCAGTCGTCGCTTCTCGGTCAAACGGGAAGAGATCCACCTGTATTTTTGAAATAACGAACCTGTTTCGACATTGGTAGACTCCTTGGACGGGTAATGGGCCCCGACACAAAACATATACCTATCAAAAAAGCACAACATACACATAAACCGCACATTCATGTCTTTTCCGATCAACGATACCAGTATTCAAGCGATCAAGGTCCACATCTTCTACCGCGCGATCACCGTTGTCACTTAATTTTGAATTTAAAAGTCAAATATTCTTTATCAACCCTACATAATAACAACAAAACATCTGGTTAAATGAACGGGTCGCTAAAGTGGCCTGCAGATAAATCTATTCCCGTAACAGTTTTGCCATTTTCTATCGGCCGTATGCAACCTCTACCGACAGAGATACAATTTAGTTGAATTATATGCTTGTAGCACATTTCTCTGATGGTAAGATGTTACTACAAACGTTGCAATTGTCGTATGAAGTCATTCCCCCCTACACTAAAAACTCTTCCTCCTACGTAAATTATCTTTGGTTTCTACCTTTTGTTTTTATCTCTTTGGGATGGCGCCACTTGAAGACAGTATAAATATGGCCGCGAGTGGTTGTGTTTTGTTGCCTGTTTTAAAGTTGAACGAAGTCGTCGTTACTTGAAGTGGTACAGTGTAATTGGACACATAAAATATAAAGTTTTTGGAATGAAAATTTAATTTTAAATATAAGTTTTTGTTATAAAATACTGATAAATACAACTGCTCAAGATGGATCAAATGCTTCCAAGTCCAGGATTTAGTATACCTAGTATAGGAACACCTCTTCATCAACCAGAGGAAGATCAACAAATTCTTCCTCATGCTCAACAGCAGCAACAACAAACTGTGCCACCACCTACATCATTACAACAGATGCCTGTTTTGTCAACACCACAGAAAACAATGCATACTTATGCCCCTTCAGGATTTACGCCACAGAGTTTAATGCAGCCTCAGACACCAGTAAGCTAATATAGTACTGATTTTGTAGTCTTATGACATCCTATTCCGCAGTTGCTGAGGATTATATAGATCTTAAGGAAGTAAAGTTAACATAGAAGGAAGGTTCTTGGCCACACTTGCCATTTTCTGAACTTCAACAAAATTCCACTTTTTCAAGGAGCTGAATACACCTCAACTGACTGTGAGGGTCTTATGATGTTGTATCCTGTGTATTTATGCACAAAATCATTTATTTGTTCTGTCACACAGACACCTTGTCTGTCTGTTATAAATAAATTTCCTTGAATGTTTTGGTTTAAATTGGCCATCATCTAATGGTTAACACACACAGTACAAAAATAATTGCATATTGAACTGAATATTTTATCTATTTTAATATATGAGGTTAGTATCCTCCCAACATTTTTAACAATATTAAAAGAAACTTTACGTATGTAAACACTTTTTATAATTATAATTAATGATTTTTACAATTATTAAAATTCTAAAACCTTTTTTTGTTTTCCTATGATCCTTCATAGTTATCAGAAATTTATTTATTTTGTTTCAGTTTTATTGATGTTTAATATAAACATTTTTTATATGTTATGTCATGACCATTTTTATTGTAACAGAATTATTTCTGCTCATCTTTATATTTATTGATTTCCTCGACAAAGTTATATATCCAGTCCAGATCAGAAACTGTGTACTTGCCTTCTGTTGATATTGTGATATAATCAATGATTATACAGTGGGTTCACAAGACAAGATGGATACATTTCATTCTGTTACATCATTAATGCCTGATGCTCCACAGATTACAGTCCTGGATGTCTGCGTACACCCTCAGGGGCTCACATATTGAGCACAGGAAGTGACATTCCCGAAACTCCTAAGCTACCCAGTGTCTGGTGGTATATCCGGTCTACCCAGCCGGGGATATAAATTCAGGGGACTGGTCCTCCAGGTTGGGGGTTGAGTGACAGGCTGACAACCTATCCCTATAAAAGAAACAATGTTAGGAAACCGCAAAATAAAAAAAAGGAAGCCAATACTTGATCTGGGTTGTAGTGTACTTGATGATTATCTGTGTATAAATGTTCTCTTCTGTATTGCAGTACACTGTTCTAAGCTCTTGGTCTGGTTCTCTGTTTTCCTAACTTCACACACAAAAAAATGTAGTTTGTTTATATCCCTTTTTATATTGTGTTGTGTTTTTTGTTATTTTTGTACTTTGTACTGGAGAATTTATTATTTCATAGTATCTGCATATAATGACCTTTCTTTTAGTCCAATCAATACAGTTAGTTAACACAGAAATTAAGGTTCATTAATGAATTAAAAATATGTGTAAAGAAGGGTTCGTGGCCTGATTTAAGGTACTATTGCAACATTTGTCTAAAGGAACTGAAAAAATACAATGATTTGATCCAGGAGCCTCCTGAATACGAATCATGAATGCTAGTACAGATTTTTATGAAACCTGTTACACAACACTTTTATGAATATTGTGATCAATCAGTTTAATTCATTTTAAGTGCCCAATTGAGTCCTTTGACAGGTTTTCACGAAACTTCATGTGGCACTGTAGTCATGCGTGAGTTTATGTTTCATATAGTTCTTTACTTTCTTTTCAGTATTACAGTTTTTTAGTTTCATTTACTTTAATTTTTAAGGCTCACATTACTTTTGCACTTATCTCACTAATTAATAGCCTGTTTTTACATGTTATATCTTGCAGTATGTGCATAAAACTCTTATGTTTTAAGAATCTGGCTTATATCATAACATCTGTTATGTGAACACAATTTAAATACCTGCTTGA